GCCATCCAGCCTCTGTTTAAAGACCTCCAAAGAAGGAGACTCCATGAGTCTCTAAGGGAGTGTGTTCCACTGTCAAACAGCTTTCACTGTCAGGAAGTTCTTCCTAATGTTGAGCTGAAATCACTTTTTCCTGTAGCTTAAATCTATTGCTCCAGGTCCTATTCTCTGGAGCAGCAGAAAACAAGCTTGCTCCATCCTCAATATGACATCCCTTGACATTTTAAACAGGACTATTATATCACCTCTTAACTGTCGCTTCTCCAGGATAAACATACTCAGCTCTCCAGGTATCTCCTCATAGGGCACGGTTTCCAAACCCTTCAGTATTTTTGTCACCCTCCTTTGGACACTCTACAGCTTCTCAACATCCTTTTTGAATTGTGATGCCCAGAACTGGATAAAGTATTCCAGATGAGGCCTGACCAAACCAGAAGAGAATGGCAGTTTCACTTCCCTTGATCTAGACACTATACTTCTATTGATGCAGCATAGAATCACATTGGCCTTTTTAGCTGCCGCATCACACTGTTGACTCATATTCAACGTAGTCTACTAGATCCCTTTCACATGTAGTCTCGTTAAGCCAGGTGTCCCCCATCCTATATCTATGCATTTCATTTTTTTCTCAAGTGCAGTACCTTACATTTCTCCCTGTTGAAATTCATTTTGTTAGTTTCAGCCCAGCTTTCTAGTCTGTTAATAGTTCAGTTATAGGTGATCGTGGCTGGGGGTTCCCAAGTCCGAGGCTGGTTATAGGGAACATGGAACTTCTTTGCTGAAGGAGCTTCACTGGCTGCTGAACTATTTCTGGGCACAATTCAAATTGCTGGTTTTGACCTATAAAGCCCTATACAGCTTAGGTCCAGAAGACATTCGGAAACTCCAATTCTGAGCCTGTCCAAGTCTTACGATCTTCAGTAGAGGACTTTTCCTCCATCCCACCACTAGGCTGGGCTGGAAAAGACCCAGGATAGGACCTTTTTAGTGGCTTTTCCTTGGCCATGGAACGCCCTCCTGAGAGTGATCTGCCTCCTCTCTGCTGTTTGCAAAGATAGTGTAGATATAAGCTCTCGGTTAATTCAATTATAGGTATAGGTCAGCTGACCAAGTCAAACTTCTAGGTTCTCCAGCTCAACTCTATGGTCAACTTCTGACAGAGTTGCGCTGGAGGACCAAGAGATTCCTAGAGAGAACATATTACTCAAAACCCACAAAGTCTGCAAAAGTCAAAGCCGCAAATGCGGAGGGCCAACTGTACTGAGGGCCTCGGCAGACGACTAATTGAGTCGTCTTCCGGGCCCAGAAGAGGAGGGGCAGCCGCACGTTCGGCGCCCCTTCCTCTCCCTGAGGTCGCCCTCGGAGTCGCCGGCCCTCTGCACGGCCGGCGCTCCGGGGATGACCTCACGCCGCGGCAGCCGAACGCGCTGCGGCGGAAAAGACAGCGAAAGTGCGCCCGCCGCTTTTAGTGCGCACTTTCGCTGTCTTGAGGAAGGAGCGCTGATTTAGCGCTCCTTCCAGGGTCGCCGCCGGTGCGCCGAGGTGCGGAGGCTGCGGCCCCGCGGCGCGCCGGCCCAGGGCGTCCTGGACGCCCTCGTCTGCTTCCCCCCTAAGTTAGGAAAAACGGAACCAACTCTCCTGATTTAAAATAGCTTAAACAATTTAAAAATGTGACTATGAGAATGAAAGCACAGCACACCTCCCACATTCAAAGATCCTCTTGCAACCAGTTAAGCCAGTCGACCTGAAAAAAAGTCATTGCCTGGCAGAAAGAGAAAAGGAGTGGAAACGAGACAGCTAGGGAGGAACAGGCTTTGGTCATAAAATGATGAAAACTTGTTCAACCGGTACCATCTTTAAGAGATTTTCCTCCCTGCCAACCAGTTACATGCTGGTTGTGGGATTCTGGGAGTTGTAGTCCAACGAGTAACTTTCCCAAGCTCTGCATAAAGTTCCCATCATCTTACACAGCTTACACAAGGAAGTGTTTTTAGACTGCGGTGGAGAGAAAATTAATTTTCCTATCTGTTATCTGAAACATCCTTAAACATAAAGACTCTTACAAGTTCAATATGTACTAAGAAGTGCCCTCCAGGTGTTAGGAGCAACTTACTCCCAGGTAAGTATTTATATCCCGCTTAATGACAATCAATCCAAGCGGCTTAAAATAAAAAGTGCATACATCAAATTCCCAAAAGCATAGATAGATAGATTGCAAGCAGCTGTTATTATTCCTCAGCAACAGCTATCTTAACAATAGATGCCTTAAATTTCTCAGAATTCAAAAATATAGCCATGTTAGTCTGTAGAATCAGTATATAAAGAGGTCTTGTAGCACCTTTGAGATTCACTGAAAGAAAGAAGTTGGCAGCGTGAACTTTTGTAGACTTAAGTCTACTTCCTCTGTTCCATTTGGTCAGTAGACTTAAGTCAAAGGACGTTATCCCACGGGGCCAAAAGCAGCAAGAATCCACCAAGAATCCGGCGCTATAGCGCTATAGTTTTCCGGGTGATCCCACGACGTCGCTCGGAATCCGCTAAGAATCCGGCGCTATAGCGCTATAGTTTTCCGGGTGATCCCACGACGTCGCTCAGAATACAACAAGAAACCGCTCGGAATGCAGCATCATTCGGGTTCTTTTGTATTCCTGTTTTCATCGGGCATTGCAATAGCGCTAGCTTATCCATAGCGCTATTATAGCGCTAGCGCCATATTATACTAGCGCTATAGTACTGCAATGATGCTCATGCGGTTTCTTGCCACTTTTGAGAGCAGCGTGGGATAAGGTCCTATGAAAGATCATGCCGCCAACTTCTTTCTTTCAGTTAGTCTCAAAGGTGCTACAAGAGCTCTCTCCATATTAATACTTCTTAGATCATTTCATACCCTTGTTGCTGTTGTGTGCCTTCATATAATTTCCAGTGTTTGGAGACATTAATGTGGCCCTATTATGGGGTTTTCTTGGCAAGATTTGTTCAAAGGAGGGTTGCCTTCCTCTGAGGCTGAGAGAGTATGAGTTTCCCAAGGCCACCGGGGTATAAATACTTCATATTATTATTATTATTATTATTATTATTATTATTATTAACTCTGGTTTCCTGGAGTCCTGAAACACAGTGTGATGTAGTGGTTTGAGTGCTGGACTATGACTCTGGAGGCCAGGGTTTGAATCCCGGCTTGGCCATATAAATCCACTGTGGTCAAGTCACACACTCTCAGCCTCAGAGGCTGGCAATGGCAAACCCGATCTGAAGAAACTTGCCAAGAAAACCCTATGATAGGTTCACCTTAGGGTCGCCATAAGTCCGAAATGATTGGAAGGCACACAACAAGAACAACAACAACTCTGGGAATCCTAGTCCTACTCCAGCATTCAAATCACTACATCACACAGGCTCTATATTTAGTATGCTCTGATTAGAATTTCCTGAAGAAGTTCAACTACATAGAAGTCTTGGTGCTCCAATTTGGTCAGATGATTTTAGAGTCTCAGCCCCCAAAGCCTAGTCTTAGGCGGGTTACAATAATTTAAAAAAGACAGAATTAAAACATTGATTACACAAGTTAAAAATAATACTTATATATTACTACTTTTTAAAGCATAATTGAAAACAGCACAGTTAATGCAGGGGTTCAAGCCCCCCCTTGCCCTCTTATTGAGGAGTCTATGGGATTTGTGCTGTTAAATCCCTTAAATCTAAAAAATTCATGTCCCACTATCTACTGCTGTCGCAGTGGCATGAAGTTAATGCCAATATAAGTCTCTCTTTGCTACAGATGAAAGCTCTTCGAAAATATGTTTTGCTCAGTCCCAACACAGTTTTCCTCCCCTCTTTCCAGTCTGCTTCTGGGGCCACTTAACATTCCAGAAAGTTATGTAATAAATATATTTTGTTTTTTTGGAAAAGGGGATTATAGCACCAAAGTGAATAAAACCCGCCATCTAGAGGGTGATACAGAATTTGCTGGACCAATATTAGTGGAAAACCTGGGATAAGCATCAAGGAAAGTCTTGTATAGAAAGGAGGATGGCTTTAGAATAGAAATAGTTTCCAATGGGGGAAAAAAAACCTTTCACATATTTCCTGGAATGTATGTCTTATCATTTTTCTATCCCACTCACTTCCCTTCCCTTGCATGCTTTGAATTTTTAAAAAAATTGCCTGCTTTTTCTCTGCAGTGCTGAAAAACTTGCGCAAAGAATGTTGTGCCCTTTTTGGCTGCTCTAATAAAAAATATTTTTCACAATATGGACAATGCCGATGTCTCATGGGGGCACATCTGCCCCTGTATTTCTGTGTCCCCCCAAAAGCTCATGCCATAATACTGATCTGGTGAAGCGCGTGCCATATATATGATTTCTAGATGACTCATGTAACTTTTCGTAAGCAGTGCAAATATTTACTGCTCTTCTAAATTGCTCTTAATAATAATAATAATAATAAAATTTATTTATATCCCGCTTATTGGCAACAATCCAAGCAGCATACAGTAAAAAAATCCCCACAACATTTTATCCAAACCAACCCTAGCCCCCTAAAACAGCATTAAATAACATATAATTAAAATTACAATAGACATAAAATAAAACATAACAATATAAACTTAAACCTATCTGGGCAGGTACGGTACCCTAAACCTCTTCTATTTGCTACTAACTGAGTTAACTCATTATGTATAGTTTTATATAGTGGAACAATAATGCCATTTAAACAATGTATTCTGTTATTCCATCGAGATTTATCCAGGGTAGCACCTTTGAGACCTAACCGAAAGAAAGAAGTTGGCAGCATGAGCTTTCCTAGATTTCGGTCTACTTCCTCAGATGCTTTTGGTGGAGTGGAAGCCAGGGACAGACATATATGAACAGAACAGGGACAATGGCTTCTTGACTCACTACACACATTTCAACACTATCTGACTCCATCCACATGGGGGCGCCCTACACTCACCTATTCTCCCCACCTGCTGCTAGTTTCTATTGCCAAATAGTCTTGCCATCATCTCATTTCCATATCCAATGGAAAATAATTGTTACTTCATTTCCATACCTAAAGGATTTTGAATTTGAATTGATATTCTCACATACCTATGGCATATATATGCCTGTCCCTAGCTTCCACTCCACCAAATGCATCTGAGGAAGTAGACTGAAGTCTATGAAAGTTCATGCTGAACAAGAAAAAGTACAAGAATATGTAAATTTATTAAAGGCATAAGCAGTGGTAAATATATAAAGAATTTTGAGAATGAAAAGTAGTAGTATCAAAAGGGTTACATAGTACTAAGAGAAATAATATGTTAATGTAAGAATTTAATATAGGAATATATATGGAAAAATTATTTCTAGAGGAATATATGGAAAAATAATAAAATAATACCAAAATTGTATATAGTAAAAATAGAGAAGATGAAATAAGACAGTAAGATATAGCTAGTCTCAGAAGATAAACAGCGTAGAGAGATGATATAGGAAATATAAAGAAATTAAGTAAAGTTAGCCCAAACTGGGAAGGAAAGACATTCAAGAAACAATAATTAATAATAATTTTTCTTGACTTTTTTTGTAGTATGTAAGCACATAAGAATGGATGGGGGTTTTTTTTGTTTGTTTTTTGCTTGTGTATTTGTTATATTTGTTATATCTGTTTGTATTTGTTTGTGTTGTCAGTATGGTTGTATGTTGGTAATGAGTTTTAAATGTAATAAAATTTTTTTTAAAAAAAGAAAGTTCATGCTGCCAACTTCTTTCTTTCGATTTACAGTCGTCCCTCCCCATCTGCCGATTTGACTTTCGTGGATTTGATTATTTATGCATTGTATGAATGTGTTCTGTCTAGGAATATCTAAGTCCTCCAGCACAACTCTATGGTAAAATTTTAACCCAAAGTCACTCTGAAGGACCTAGAGATTCCTAGAGAGCACACTCCACTAGGCATTTGTAGCCCCTCCAGTGCAACTCTATGGTCAATGTCTGGCAGATGTTGACCATAGAGTTGCACTGGAGGACCTAGAGATTCCTAGAGAGGTGTTATCTCAGGTAAAAGCATACTGTTTTTGATATTTATGGTTTTCCCACATTCCCCAAGCGAATGTGTAGGGACCACTATAGTCTCACAAGGGCTACAAGACCTCTCTACACACTGATTCTACAGACTAACAGGGTTATATCCTTGAATCCAGTCCCAATTTAAGAAGAAGAAGAAAAAATGTTTGACCCTTGTTTTCACAAAAGTACAGTTCCCAGAATCCCCTAGCATTGAGCCAGGGCAGTTCAAACGGTCTCCAAGTGGATTATTTCTGCAGTGTGTGTTTAGCCCATTGCCTTTCTTGGGGGCCATTCCCACTATGGACCTTATCAAACGCTGGCCACAAAGGGAAAAGTAAGTGAAAACTAACCGAAGTAAGAATAAATTCAGTTCTATA